TAGGGTCCCTCGGCCAGAGCAGCAGGCTGGACCCCGGGACGGCTGTCTGCCCAGATAGGCACAGGGGTAGGATTGGCTCCCAGAGTCAGTGCTAATTTTAGCGGGGGTGGGGGCAGCTGGGTGCACCCCCGAAGTGCTATCCCGCTCGCTCACGGGGCCACAGAGTGGAAACGGCCTCTCGTTCCTGTGGCTTCAGGCCCATCTGCCTGGGCGGTGCTCCAGGAAACCCAGGGTTCACACGTTGAACTCATACACCCGTGTACAGAGGCTAGCACGCACGCCCACACTGTCATCTTCCAGGCTGCACGTGATTCCCAGGGAGCTCAAGGTGGTGGCTGCGGTGGAGTGACCGCCGAAGCTGACCACCTCTGACTTAGGTTCTGGGGTGGCCATGACGAAAGACCCCACACCAGGTGGCTCAAACAAATTCATTTTTTCTCGTTCTGGAAGCCAGACGTCCAAAATCAAGGTGTCTGCAGCGCCCGTCCTCCCTGGGGGCTCTGAGGGGACTCTGTCCCATGCCCCTCCCTGCTCCCGGCGGCTCCTCCATCCTTGGGGCTCCTGGGCTTGTAGACTCCTCACCCAGTCTCTGCCTCTGTCATCACGGGGCTGCTCCCTGTGTGTCACTGTGTTAAACCTTCCTCCCCTTTCTCTGTTTGGACACCCGTCACTGGATCTGGAGTCCACCCTAACCCAGAGTGATCTCAAGATCCCTAACTTAATGACATCTACAAAGACCCTATTTCCAAATCAAGGTCCCATTCACAGGTTCCGGGGGTCAGGACTTGGACACATCTTTTGCGGGGACCCTGTTCAGCCCACGACAAGCACCTCCACTTCATCCAGTGCCTCTGTATTTAAGTCAAATCATACTTTTCATTCCCCCCTAACAATATTGGGGTCCGGGCCAGGGACTAGCTATGCAGAACAGATGGACCCTCTGGCCAGAGTAGGGGTGGCTCCCCAGGACCTCGTGAGAAAGCCGGGGCCGGGCGGGTGGCTCAGGAGAGGCCCGGCGGCTCCCTTCTCCCCAGGTCCTGGGCTTCGTTTTCTTCACCGCTGCCTGCTTCCTGTACAAGCCCCTGTCGGGCTCTTCGGACGGCCTGGAGGCTTCTCTGCCCAGCCAGTCCTCAGCCTCCGGCAACCCCACGGACCTTCAGGAAGCCCCCTCAGCCCTCCAGATCCGGAGCGACATCTGACAGCCCACCCGCCTGCCCAGGGGCACGGGCCTGCCACGGCACTTCCTAGGAACACTATCTAATTTCTCCCCGGAAGGGGTGACGCCTCCCTGATTGATCCCCGGCACTGAGGACCCTGCAAAAATCTGCCACCGGGTCTGGGGGGAGTGAGCCTTAAAGACACCGAGGAGAAAGAATGCAAGACGTCCGAATGGACGCCCCTGCCCCAGCCCCCCAGACCTCGCCAGAGAGAGTCGGGTGAGCAGCTCTTGGCTCGGAAGGAGTGGCCCACTTCCCGGCCGGATGCAGGGCTGCCTCCCTCTGGTCCGCTCACACTCTGGCCCTCTCCCACGGACTTAGCCAAATAGCATCCCCTGGGGCCTCAGGATCCCTCGGAAACACGAACAGCTGTGCTTCTAAAGCAACCTGTGTGATTCCTACGTAACTCCGTCAGTAGTTACGAAAAGTGCGAAACCACCTGTGGACTTTGGGGAGACACTTCTGGCATCCCTTGATCTCTCCTTTGAACGGCAGATTTTTGGAGCTGGTGGCTGCCCGGTGGTTTACAAGCTCTCTTCTCTCTGGAGACGTTAAGGGCGGTGATGCTGGCGCTGTTGGAGCTGCTCCATGGAAGGAACAAAGCACCCACCCCCGTGGGCGAGCTGGAGCCGGCGGTGCTTCTGCGCGGGTCCACACCATCCTGTGCGCGGCCTGGCCCTGACTTCCTGTGTTTCTCCTGATGCAGAGGAGAAACAGGTGGGCTGCCATCCCCGGGGCACATCCACGTGGACCCCTCTCCTGCGTGTGTTCTAAACCTGCTGTCACCTCCTGTCCTTGGGGCCGCACAGCGCTGCAGCAGGACGGGAGCAACTCGCATAAGGATGTATTTATGGACCCATATTTTGCATAAACACCTATTTATAGAATTTGTTTTTTACCTGACGGTGTGCTAAGCGCTTGTGAATTCTACCCGGAGGGCGTCGGGACTTGCGTGGAATGTCTGTTGTTGGTGTCCTCAGTTAAAACTGTGGGTATGTAAATATATTTTAATATTTAAAGCATATATTCCTGCCCCGTGTGCTTTATTTCTACAAATCTGCAAAGTTCGGCAGTTTTGCAAATCCTCCCAGTGGGCTTTTGTGAGTTTGTTTCGCCGTGGGCTGCCCGGGGTGGGCGCCCGCTTCGCTGGGTTCCCCCGGTGGGTGTCCCCCCGCCCCTCGAAATGATCGCTCCGCAGTTGTGACCCGAGAGCCTCCTCCCTTCAGGGCCCAGCACCCAGGTTCGGCGGGGGGCTGGGTCCCCAGCCAGCGTCCCACTTCCCGCCACTGTCAGGGAGTGCTGGGATTCGGTCAGGGTGGCCAGCGCTGCGGTCAGCACGCATGTGCGTGAACACGTGTACGCACGCAGGTGAGACCCGGCACAGGGCTACTCT